ACCCCCCACCCCCATGAACTGTGTAGTGAAAGGATGAGGAAATCCTTTACTCCTTAAGAGGCTGACCCTTGACATAGCTTCCTCTGGACCCAGGTTGGACCTCAGAGCACTGCTGAAGAGTGGACTTTGGCTCTTTTGTGTTAGTCATGCACTTCCTTGGCCCAGAGCCCATAGCCTATGTTTCTTCTGTAAGTGAAAGAGTAACAGATTGTAGGCAGGTTGCCTGAGAAACCCTGAGTTCCTGAAACCCAGCTAGACAGTGGGCAGACTGTCTTGGTCCTTAAGTCAGTGTTCAACTCAAGGAGTTTGGATTTTCCCTTTGACATGAATGCTAGGTGAGTAGGTATCTTGGATTAATTTGGAACCCCTCTTCCATGTAACTCCTCTCTTCCCCATTTCAACCAGTTTCCCTGGAAACCAAGGATCAGAAAGAAAAGAGGCTGTAGTGGAAAACAAAAACCCTGGGACATGGGTAAGTGTGGGCAGGTCCCAGCCTCTTGCTGGATTTTGTCATGTGTAAAGGCATAAAGGTAAGCTTATGGGAACTTAGGGAGGCCTCTTTTAGCATCATTGTCCTATTCACCTGTGAGGTCTATTTTTTATTCCCATTCTCCCAAAAAGATGAGATAATCATCACAAGGATAGCAGGTGGCGGGGCAGTGGAGAGAAAAGAGCACCTCAAGTCAGTTATCAGCCTTAGAATCAGCTTTATTATGTATTTTAGATTCTTCAGGGAAAAGAAGGCAAGAAAGCTGGAGAGAAGACCAGCTTGCTTCACACAGACACAAATTACATCTTTAAAGAGTGTACATGATGAGAAGAACTCAGAGCAGACCAGCTATGGAGCACAACGATAGACAAGGACGCCAGACATCCTATCTCGTCTTTCCTTATTGGCTGTTTGGATTCAATCATTTACAGAATTTGATTTCATTTTTTAATAAAATCATAAATAACATTATAATGTCCAATCATTTGCTGTTCTTTTTAAGGTGCAGGGACAAAATTACCCACAACATTCTCAAGACCTTTGGTGGTTATGGTGGTGATGATAAATGAAAAGTCCATCAGAATTCAGTTTGTTTTGAGGCTTGAATGAGAGTCTGATACTCTGAAAGATGAATGAAGACATCCTTGACTGTTAAAAATACAGGGTTGGATGAATTTTTGTTTCAAGGGAACTTTGCTAGGCTTTCAACAGACTACCGAGCACAAGACTTATTTACAGAGGTTGATGAAATGCAGAGAGAACTGCCTTCAGGGACACAAACCAAGTCCTGGAATACTGAGGAAGCCAGAGGGCAAGAAAGCACATTGCACACAGAGATACCTGCAGGAGGTCATCAGAGCATGGGCTGGGGTGGGCTTTTCATATATGGGCCATCTTCTTGACTCTTGTGGCACATGAGCAGTTACTTGCCCTTGCCAGGGGGTGAGCACTTCTCCTGGATGTTCTGTGGGCACACCTCCACACATTTTGTCTGGAACACCTCCTGGCATGGCTCCACACACTGAGGTGCACATTGGTCTTGGCATGGAGGTAGGCATGGGTCTTGGTTTTGCTGTGAGCAGGCGTCTTGATTTAGTACCTGGCACTGAGGAAGACAAACCTCCTGAGCTTGCACTGGGCACTTCTCTTGACAGGGGTCCTGGCATGAGGGGAGGCACACCTCCTCAGCCTTTGCTTGGCACTGCTCATGGGTCTTTTGAAGACAGGGAGGGGGCACACATGGTTGCTTGCACTGCTGCTCATTGAAGGACATCCTAGGTGGATTTTTAGAACCTGAAACGAACACAGATTTAAAATAATCTGTATTAAAAGTACCTGGCTGGAAACTGGGGTGGGGGAGGGGGAGAGAATGAGGGGATGAAAGGTCGAAAGATGGGAGTGAGGAGCGAATGTTTATTAACCTTAACTCATTTATCTATTTCTTTCTATCCCATTATCTTTTCTAGCTCTACCTCAGCTCCCTCTGACACCTGTTTCCTAGATGGGAATATTTTTGTAGCTCTTATCTGATATCTATGGCCCAAATCTACGGTCTCACCACAAGACTTTTCTTTCTCTTATAGCTTACTAAACCTTATGAAAATTAGGTGTGAATGACTAGCTAGAATACATAGAATGATTTGGGAGGTCTAAGAAAGAGAGAACCACTTAAAAAAAAATCCAGAGTAGAAACAGAGTAGTGACTTCCCAAAGGCAATGCAGCAGGAAGAGAGAAGGCACAGATGTCTCACTTACCTGATCTTCAACAGGACTCAGCTAAGGATGTGGATTGTAGAGCCCAGCAAAGTTGGGACTTTTATATTGTGCTTGGTCCAACCTCCTGCAAGGACCATCTGGACACGTGGGCTGAGGTCCTAATTGTGGAGTCACTATAACGAGCTTCCTCTGAAATTGCAGATGGTTTGACTCATTGCTTGGGATGCCTGTTAATCAGCCTGCATTTTGGCCTCTGGGTCCTCACCAGACCTCAGCAGGGACGGGCTCCTCTCAGATCTCTCTCATCAGAAGTAGTAAGAAAAGAATGTTCATAAAATGTTATCTCCATCTGTTCAACCAGGGTTGGGGTTTCATGTCTGCCCAGACTGGTTCAGGATGTGGTAAGAGATAGCATCTACCTTGCTCATCTCATCTGTCTTCACCAATGGGAAGACTTCATGTCTGAGACCCAGGGTCTGTCTGAGTCAAGAGCTTGTATGTCCTGTTTTAGACATTTTTACTTCTCTAAAATTTTTAAAAAGGTTTTTGATGAATTTTTTTCCATGAGAGTGAGAGAGAGACAGAAAAAGAGAGAAAGAGAAAGAGAATCCTTAACAAGATCTTGATGCTGAGATCCAGCCCAAGTCTCAACTTGGATAATGGGTTTATGTGTGCTTAGTATCTCAGGGATGTCTCCAGATGATAACCCAGGACCTTCCCATGTGGGTTAACTTTGGAAAGCATCACAATTTACTGTTGTGCCACCATCTGGAACCCTCAGACATTTTTACTTCCATTGCCGCTTCCAGACTCAAGGAAGATAACTCATCCTGAGGTCCCAAGCAAACAAAGGGCAGATATCAGGAGGGAAATTGGAGTATCTGTTACCCTTGGGTTGTGGAATGAGATGAAGGAGAAGACAGAAGCAAGGGAAGCAAGGCAATCTTCATCTTCTCTACTTCGGTTATTGACACTCTTCTGGAAGTGGAGTTACTCAGTGTTTTCAAAGTGACCAAGAAAATGGGTTGGAACAAGCTGAGCCTGTCTCCCTTGCCTTCTAGAGAATCCTTTCTTAGAACTCAGGACAATAAAAGCCAGTGAATGAAAGGAAAAGTTTCACAGTAAACACACCCACTTTTCTCTAAGACTGAGTATGAACTGTCATTTTAGCCTGATATTCCCACCCTCTCTGTGCCTGTTAAATCCTAAACATTCTTCAGAGTTTAGCTCAAGTCTACCACCTTCCAACAGGTTTTTTGAGAACTCTATAAATTAGGGATGAATTTACCTTTCTATAAATTTCCATACTATTTATTGTTTGTGCTCTGTATATGACATTTACTGTTGCTATTAGGAATTACAGTTATTTATGTACATAATCTTTTTTTTCCGTTTTCTCTTGTTGGCATTTCTTTTTTAAAAATTTTATTTATTTTTATTTCATTTTTCATACATTCAATTATCTTTTTTAGCTTATAAAGTGAATATTTCACTATGTGAACATTTCTCCCTAGTCCAGTTGGTTAAACTATAAAACTATCTTCAACAGATAATACCACATTTCTTTGTCCCATTAATGCTTTGCCTCCCTATTTTTCTTCTGAATGTCCTTCCTCAGACCCTACTCTTCCACACACACTATATCTGGTATTTAGATCCATTTATTGTGTTTGTATATCCTTTAGTCAATCAGTTTCAGTCACAGAGTGCGGACACTCAGTATATATTAAGTGGGGACATACAATGTCTCTCCTTCTCCTGGGTTGTAAGTTTCTAGAGATTAAGGACTATACCGTAGGTATAACAAGTGGGAGATGATGGAAGATAAATGGTTCTTGATGGAGTAAGTGCATTAATGAAGGAATGAAAAGGATGAATGTGAGAGGCATCTGAAAAGAGAGGAAGATCTAATTTATTTGAAAACGGGAAAGGAGTCATTACAAGTCCATGAAGTGGTGACCTTATATTTGTTTGTTAAGGATGACTAAATTTTAAGGACTTTTAAAAAATGATGATGCTTAATCCCCTTCCCTTAACTTCAAGTTAAGTTCAAGCCCTTAACTTGAAGAGGTAGGTTTAGGTCATTCCCTGAGAGGTGTTTGACCAAAATAAGAAATGCCTGTTAAGGTTTGTATAGGCTTGATACTAGAAATGTTTTTAAAAAGAGACTTTTTTTTTTTTTTTTTTTTTTAAGAATGATGTGGGAAGAGCTCAGGGAAAAATGTGTTTAACAGACACAAAAGTGTAAAGGTCTTTGTTGAAAATGAGGTATAAGGCAATATTCTTGATTTGATGATCGCATACTGCTTGGATGGTTTGAAATACTATATTGTTTGCTATAAAGATGTACAGCAAATAAATGTAGATAAGAAATAACAAAATAAAATGAAAAACAAAGCAAAACAAATCAAATAAGCAAAAAGAATGATGTATGGAGATTATGTAACACTAGCATAAGTGCCTGTGATGTCTTGGCAGGGGACAGATGCCTAGATGGTAAGGGATTTGAAATACTCTTGAAGAGATAAGGTGATTTGGGGAATATGGGAACTGAATGATTAGGTATAGGATAGAGAAGCTCTGCTCTTTTTTCTTTCTTTTTTCTCCTCTCTCCTTCTCTCTCTCTCTCTAAGCTCTTTCCATTCCTCTTCTTCCTTTTTTTCTCCTTCATATTTTTTTTTCTCCTTCATATTTTCTATAGAATGTTGTTAAAGAGACAAATAGTTCTCCTGTATCTTAGGAGGCAAAGAGTTCTCCATCACTAAGTTTGTTAGTTCATTCTTCTGTCATTCCTGGCCCTACTTTTACAGGGCTTCAGGGTTTGGGGGAAGATGGGCCAAGGTAAGCTCCTGTCTCAGAAGAAGGTATCTTTATTGACCTGGGTAGAGTCATGGGAGACTTCTGGGGGAAGAGATGTCTGTGCTATGTCCCACTGGACAGTACTCAGGCAGGAGAGTGGGAAAAGGCATTCCAGGCAGGTGCAAGGAAGGAATCTTGATTAGGAGGTTGTTTCAATACAGAGATCTAAGAGCAAGAATGGGGTTAACTTAGGAAAGGGGATGAGTGCGAGATGGTGGAAGAGACATGCTTGCTTGAGATTTCCAGAAGTTTCCTACAATAGGGTGCATGAGATGGTTTTGCTCATGCCACATACATTTTAGTTGCTTTGGTTGAGCCCAAAGATGGAGACTAAATAGGGATGCGTAGAACAATGGAGAGACCAAATCATGTTCTCATGGGAGAGGTTTGAATCCAGTTAGAGATGAGTATTTGATTCCTCTCAAAGAACTGTCAATCTTTGAGTTGATTTATGATAGCAGAACATTCTTTTCTTTTTTTTTGGAGAGGTTTTTGCTATAGGGTGCGTGCGCTCACCAGAAAAAGAGAGAGAGACAGAGAGACAGAAAGTGAGAAATCACCCCCCAGGGGCGATGACCATGCCGCAATCCCTTCTCCTCCATTCTCCTCTTGGGATCTTGGGCACACACACACACAAGCCCGACATGAGTTTAAGCCACCAGGTCCGGAACTTGAACCGCGGTTGACTACATGGGAGTCCAGCCACATAGCCATTACGCTAACTGCTTGTCCCAATAGCAGAACATTCTTGAAATTAACCTCCAAATCCTTCTGTGGTAGGAAGAATATTGGCCTCCCAAGGATGTTCACAACCTATTCCCTAGAATTTATGAATATGTTAGGTTACTTGGGAAAAAGAATTAAAGCAGCAGATGGAATAAAAATTGTTAATCAAATGACCTTAGAGAAATTATCCTGGCTAATCAAGGTAATGCCAGTGTTATCATGAGGGTTCTTAAAAGTGGCAAAGGGCATAAAAACGTCAGTGTCAGAGTGCTGTGATGTGAAAAAGATTGACTGGACACTTCTGGTTTTGGAGATGGAAGAGAATTATGAACCAGGAATGAGCACAATCTATAGAGACTGGAAAAAACAAGAAAACATATTCTCCTATAGAGCCTCCAGAAATAAATATTTCTAGTTCAGTGAGACCTGGGTCAGACTTCTGACCTTCAGAACTATAATATAATTCATTGTTTTAAGCCACTCAATATGTGAGTGCTTCTTATAGCAGCAGTAGAAAACTATACACCTTCTCAATATCTGAAGTGTTTGGGACCTCTGGAAAAGGGACTGCAGGGGAAGGGTCTCATATGCTCATTTTGGTGTTTCCTCATTTAAGTATATTCCTATTTGTTATGTTGGCACCTTCAATCAAAGACTAGCTTTTGATAAAAAGAGGCACTGAGGTGTATAAAAGAACTGAACTCAGGATGCCATTAACCAAAGGACAGACTCTACTACACAGAGTGCAGTATTCGCTAAGTGACTTGGCCTTTCAGAGCATCCATTTCCTTTTGTCAAGAAGGGAAAATACAGGGCCAGTAGGTGGTGTAGTGGTTAAGGTGTTGGACTCCCACATGGCTGACTGTGGTTTGAGGCCCAGACCCAGTGGCTTGAAAATCATGCTGGGTGTGTGTGTGAGGATTCCCAAAATCCCAGGAGAAGGGAGGAGAAGGGATTGCAGTGTGGTCATCCCCAGCAGGTGATTTCTCACCTTCCCTCTCACTGTCTCTCTGTCTCTCTTCAGTGCATATCCATATGCCCTATGGCAAAACCTTAAAAAAGAAGGGGAAATACTATTTCACAGATTTTTTTTCTTTCTTGAAAATGTTGCAGGTCTTACTGTCACCACTGTGCTACTACTGTGATGGAAGCATTACCTGTGTCTCAGTTTAGCTACATTAAGAATGTTGGACACTGAATGACAGTGCCCAGTCAAATCTAGAATGAGGCTCATAGAATTCTTGTGAGGAATAAATTAGAGAACATACAAACCTACACTTTGGGTCATCGAGCTACTTACATAAGGTTATTTCAATCAAATTGATTCAGGACTCACCTCTTCCATGAAGCCTTCTTTGATTCCTTCCAGCACTCCTTGTTCTCTCTCTTTTACTTTGTTCCCCAACATTCGGTCTCTGACTTGTGCTTTTCTACTTACCTTGATGCATAGACAAAGTACCGCACAGAGGCCCAGGATACCTGACTTTGTCTCTAACAAGATGTGTGACCTGAGTTCTCGACCCTCGCTGGCCTCAGGTTCATCATATTTAATATAGGAAAGCAAGATGTTCAGTCAGGTCCTCTCCTTATATTCTGTGATACTACGAGTGCAATCCTGAGTGATCAGTCTAGGTGACTTTGTAAGTATCTAGGACCTTTCCTCCTAGATCATACCTAAAAAGACCCAGTCTTTGTCCTCTGCACATGGCAGTGACCCAGCTGGATGGCTGAGTTATCTGGGTGATTAGTCTTTTTCAAAATACAGAGTGGGAGTATTCGGGGTCTGAGTCCTCAAAACTCAACCTTAGTGGCCCAATATCTATGGCTTAGACAACTTCGGGGAGATTGTCCCATTCTAAATCTTAACACGAGGTGACCATGCTGTTCCTTTGATCATCCCTAGCCCTCCAGCAAGATTGTGGCTAATCTCATGTGATGCCATCCAAGAGTAAGATTTTAGATCTTTTGAGCTGTCATTATTGGGAGCCAGGGCATAATTAGGGTCAGCAGAAGAGACTCAGGTGTTTGCAGAACTTTTTTCCCCCCATGCCCATCAAATAACTATCTCCTTTGTTCAGATCATAAAATTTCCCAGACTCCTCTGATTCATCCCTCTGTATATTACAGGGCAATGGATCCGATAAAGCTGAATGGTGCAGAATGCAGCTCATCCCGTTTCCTGGGGAGCGGGTGTCTCTGGAGAGTGCACTGAGCTTGTGAATTCCTGTGGGAGAGTCCACCATTCCTCTCCCTTCCCTTCCGTCTGTGTCACCCACACAGGGAGTCTGAATCAGAGGTGTGGGAGGAGCTGTGGATCATCTGCCATCGGGGCCAGAAGGGATGTGAGAGGCCACCCGCCACCTCCTTGTTTTAACTGCAGCACATGCTTTTAAAGGAAGCATAGGACTATTTATTGATTGCATTTTTCACATGAGAGCACTGAAGCCTAAGTGTCAAGGGCCTTGTTCAAGGTCACATGGTAAACACGTGTCTGGTCTGGGCAATGGTCCATGAGGCAACCATTTAGGGATCACTGTGCTATTAATATAAGCTTCAGGATGACATCAAAGAGGAGACCAGTAGTGGTTCTCAACCATTTGGGGATCATGAGGAAGGAAACGTACACATGTGCATATATTCACTTTCAGGGGTTCATGGACCTTAGGATAAAGACCAACACCAACCATGAGGAGAAATGATATTCCCAAATTGCTTGGGTTTTCTCTTGGTCTTCATTCATTTCCTTTTTGAGACTGGGTTCTGGTTCATTTGGGCCTACACTGGGGTTAGAAATCCTAAATTCTCTGAACAACTAACCCAGTGTGACTTTGGTTGAGCTGCTTCCCTCTCTGGGCCTTAGTTTCCTCACTTAGACACTCAATGCCATGTCCAGCTCTGACATTCAATAAAGCTAAAGTCTCCTTCTGGATCCTACTGTGGCATAACTTCGAAGTGTGGTGGAGGGGATGACTTTCTAACTCTCCTTGCCTTCAAAGATATTTCTCATCCTTTCCTGGAAATTCCCTCCTCTCCCTCAGATCCACTGCTTCACATAGCAAGTGATGATGCTCTTACTGTAGTGGGTGATGAGTTATTAGACCAAGGGCTGACCTAGGTCCTTGAGTGTTGTTGGTCTCACGGCTTTGTAAGCTCAGTTTTCCATGCAGGGGATTTTCATAAATGATCTTACTTCCCCCCAACCTCCCACCCCTTGGTGAGATTTTTCTTCCCATTCTTCGCATGAAGACACTGAGACTTTCTCTCCCATAGAGGTTAAACAACTTGCCCAGACTTCACAGCTGGTTAGTGCAGAGCAACTTTGGTGGTACATGTCTGTGTGATGAATCCATGTCTGTGATGTCAAACCCTTTCCTCGTGCCATGTTGCCTTTTGAAGTAAAACAAACAAACAAACAAAAAACAACAAAAAAACCCCAAAAAACAAACACTCTTAGGCAGGCTGTATCTCTCTGTGGAGGTAGGATGGGGGCTAGCAGGATCTTTATCTTGTAGCTTAATACAGAAGTGGCCAAAAAGTGCAGAACTGTTGGCCAAGGCCAGGGCTGCTTCTGTCTCAGCTCCTTCATGTTCCCCACTGCCAGTTTCTAGGGGTGTCTCCATACACTGAGGTTAGAAGCACAATGGAGAAGAGCGCAGTTCAGAGCAGTCTCTTGTTCCTTGGAAAAATGTCTCCAAACCACCGAGCAGCCACTCATTTGTTATTATTGAATGTCTGCCTGTGTGCCTGTGTTTTCACAAAGAGCATATAGTCAAGTGGGGAAGTCAGATTATAAACAGATGAACAGAACAGTGTGCCATGTGTGTTCATGTGTTTTACAGGGAGGAAGGCATGGATGATCTGAGACCACAGGAAGGGCCATCTGAACAGCGTGGGGTGGGAAGTGGGGAAGCTTCTTGGAGCAGGTGACCCCTGGGTGGAGTTAAATGATGAGGATTTGCCAAGGGCATCATTCAGAGGAAGGAGGAATGACAAAGAAGCAGGAGAAAAGTCATAAAGACCAGAAATTTCCTGCTGCATGACAGAAAATGCCGACAGTTACTGACTACTGAACTGTTTCTTCTACAAGGAGATGGAGAAGTAGTGAGGTACAACAGGAGGGGAGGCAAGGGACAGCTCTTGAGGATGTTTGCATGCTGGCTTACACTCCCTAGGCAAAGAGGACATGTTTAAGAATTTTAAGCAAGAGAGTGCCATATTTAGATTTGAATTTTAGGGAGACTCTTATCCGCTTCCACTGAAGCCAGGACTAGAGGAAGATGGATTTAAAAAGCTGGTGAGGAAGTTTGAATTATGTAGGTAAGAGATGAGAGTGTTACTTGAAGGAAAAGCTGTGAATCCTTGGTCTGAGCAGAATTTCCTTTGAGCCTAGGAGAGAGCTCATAGCTATAGGGCTGAGACATCTGAGGTTTCATGCCCTGGAAAGATGAGTGCAGCTGAAAATATCCTGGTATGCATTTTACAATCACTTTGTATCTTAGGAACATATAAAGATGTGTTTGGAAAATGATCTACTGTATTTACTGATTTGCTTATTTGTGAAGCATCATCAGGTGTGGTGTAGAAGCAATTATGACTTATCATCAGTAAAGCCTTCCACAGTGTGCCTGTTCTTATGTCCCTGGGCTGGAATCTTTGGTCAAGTGGGAGCAGGATAGGAAAAATAGAGCAGGCTTCGTAGTTGCTGACCTCCTGCCATCTCCCTAGCTTCCACTCACATATGGAAGTGGAGGGTGCAAGAAAAACACCTAGGGTTCTTTCTAACTTCAAAATAAGACCTACCTGTGATTTTGTGCCCAGCCTTCTCAGAGCACTGGCCCTCAGTTCCTGATTTGGAAGGGCTCAGAAGCCCTTTTTCAAGGCAAGCTGCACTCTGTCTGATTCCCGAGACAGCACGAAGGGATGCTCCTTTTGTGAGCTTCTAAATGGGCCCTTAGAATTGCACGGTTCTGCCCCACCTGGTTATCTGTGAGCCTTCAAGTCTAGTGCTACAGAGATCCTCCTGATCCCCCTTTCAGGTGTCGCTGATGTGCACAAACCTGTACCTTTGGTGCAGAACCCTGGTGACTGCCGCTGGGGCTGGGAGTAATTATGGCATTTTGCAGGGAGGTGGCATCCTCATCACATTCTAGCCATCTTCCTTGGGGTTGCCTTTGATCTAGCTCTTTGCTAGAAAAGTAGCCATTAAGAGATGTCTATCTTTGGTTTCCTTTACTTGGGAGAAATGATAATGAAATTAGCCGCAGATGGTTTCATGTTCTCAGAGCTGGCCTCCACCCAGTCTGTGCCCAGAGTTCTCAGAGTCACCCGGGAGGGGCACAGCCCCTGACCCTTTCTACCAAGGAGCTGCTCTAAAGCCTGGCACCGAGAACCTATGCTTTACCTTGGGTGTTTTCTACATGCTGTGTATTACCTAAGATGTTCTCCTTTCCTTCCTTTCTTTTTGTGCACTGAATAAAAGAAAGGACTTCAAGGGGCTGGACAGTGGTGCAGCAGTAAAATGTAATATTCACTGAGGCTGACTAATGTAGACAGTTTCCAAGTTCTCTTCTGGAGACCTTCCTGAGCTCATTAAGCATATGCATGTGCCTGTGATCCAGGATGGCTGGTGTGGGGGTGGATTGTGGTGTGGAGACCCTGTGGGAGTGCTGTTTCTGTCTTGTTCATAATAAACTCAATATATATACACAAACTTTGAGCATCTCTGAAGTGTTCATGATTATTTCATTATTTTTTCATTATTATATTTTTCCCTATTACAAAGCGATGCGCAGAGTGTTTTTCAAGCCACTATGTCCAGGACTAGAACACATAGTGGGCCATGTGGGATCCAGCTGTCTTAACGACCATACCACCTGGCTGGTCCAGCCAATAGCATATTAGAAGAAATCCAGAAATCAAAAAGTAAAGTGTTCTACTGGTTACCCCAAACTCCATTGTCCTAATATAATGAGAATGTCCACAAATTTTCTTCTATTTTTACTATCATCATTATTATCTTTATTATCAACAGAAGCTTTTTGTTGATAATTGCTTTATGCTGTAAGTTCAGTTGAGGACTTACTTTTCCCCTTTAATACATTTTAGTGACTGTAAATTGTTCCATCAAAAAATCCAAGTTTTTTTAATACAACCTCATTAGTTTATTTAATCCAACCCCCTAATTATACTATAATAATCACCTTTATTTATAAGCCCCCCCCCATTTTATGATTGTTTTCTCTGCAGGTTCTGTGAGGTGGAACAAAGGGTTGAATCATTTTCAGCTTTTCATACACAATTTTTTTTCCTCTCTCTATACACACACACACACACATACACACACTATATATAGAGAGAGAGAGAGAGAGAGAGAGAGCCTTTTTATATTTCCCCCAACTGCAGCACACTCTTTAGCACTGAAATTGTGGGATTTATTATTTAAAAGTCATCATTTACTAGATGTAAGAAGATGCCACATTATTGTCCTATTCTCTCTCCCTCTCCCGCTTTCCTCCCTCCTTCTCTCCCTCCTTCCTTATCCCCTTCCTTCCTTCCTTCCTTCCTTCCTCCTTCCTTTCTCATCCTTCCTTCTTCTCTCCTTTCCTCTTCTCCCTTTTCTCCTCTCTTCCTTCATTGCTCCTTCCCTCCCTCCCTCCCTTCTTTTAACTTTCCATGAGGTGGAAGGGTTTTCCACCTGTTATAGCAGTTGACTACCACCCCCAATGCCCTCAGCTTGGCTTCTGGAGGTTTCCAACATCCAACAGGGGCCCATCTGCCGGGCTCTAGAGGATGGGAACTTTGGTGCCAGACTCTCATTCTTGCCAGGAGACCCTGAGGACTGAAGCCTCTTTTGTCAGAGAAAGTAACTTCTGTTTTTCATATATGGAAGACCTTTCCAGCTTGTGTGTTCTAGAAGTCTGCTTCTGAAAATAGTTGGATTATATGACCTTGGCCTGAGGTTGGTTCCAGGTGTCTTGTCTCTGGAATATTTTGGACTATCTATACTTTCTGCATCCTTTACTATTCTGAACTATCTTCCAGACACAGAAGCATGGAAAGCCTTTTGTATGTCATGATTCCATAGGGACCATCCCAGATTTGGCCATTTTTATTATCTTATACTACTATGGCAGCAGGAAATCTTGAAACTATTTCCACTTACTTGCTGTGGATTGTAATAATTTAGACTTGTTTTACCTAAGTGTCAGAGCTGTCTGCTCTGCCAAAGGGCTGACCTCATGACCTCCTAGGCAATCCGATTCCCTTCTTGTATAAAATAGAAGCATCCTCTTGCCCAACCTGTTAAAAAGCTGGGTCTGCAGCTGGCCAAGAACTTTAGCATATTGAGACAATGATAGGAGAGAGTGGGATACGTCCTGAGGCTGGCAGAGATGAGGGAAGCTGACAGGGCAGGAGTGAGTCCACACTTCTGGTCTCTTATGTCCTGGTTCTTAATGCCCTGCTCCAATATCCTTCTCAGCAATATGAACCCCAGAATTCCTTTTCATAAATTAAATTAGTTCGACATCAACTATCTGTGGCTACATGTAAATAAATCCCAGCTTGCATATCAGGTGTAGATGCTTTTCCTATTCATTCCTTATTGGTATTCTTCCAGATGTGTATTATTTTTGTGCTTAACCTTTTATTTTTTAACTTAAATTCTAACTTTTAATATGATAGAGTCACAGAAAATTGCAAAAATAGAAGTCCCATATGCTCATCACTGGAATTCTCTCAATAATGACATATTACGTAATAAGAGTTCAAAATATTGGGGCTGACATTGGTAACTGATATTGGTATAATCCAAAACTTTTCTTTCCTCCCTCCTTCCCTCCAACCTTCCCCCCTCACCCTCCCTCTTTCTTCTTCCTTCCCTTTTTTCTTTTTTCATTCCTTCCTTCCTTGCTTTCTTTTGCTTGCTTGTTTTCTTCCTTCTTCCTTTCTCTTCTTTCTTTTTCTTTCTTTCTTTCTTTCTTTCTTTCTTTCTTTCTTTCTTTCTTTCTTTCTTTCTTTCTTTCTTTCTTTCTTTCTTTCTTTCTTTCTTTCTTTCTTTCTTTCTTTCTTTCATTTCTGCCAGCCTCCACTCCTCCTCAGGATGTATCCCACTCTCTCCTATCACCGCCTCAATATGCTAAAGTTCTTGGCCAGCTGTAGATCTAGCTTTTTAACAGGTTGGGCAAGAGGATGCTTCTATTTTATACAAGAAACTAATCTTTCTTTCTTTCATTCTTTCTTCTTCCCTTCCTTCCTTTTCCTTCCTTCTTTCTTTCTTCTTTTTCTTCTCTCCCTTCCTTCCTTCCTTCCTTCCTCTTTTTTTTCCCTTTAATTTCCAGAGGAAAATTAAATTCCAGAGCACTTGCCAAAGGGACAGGGAGAGAGGGGAAGAAGGACAGGGAGAGGGAGAAAGTACCTCCTAGTAGTGGGGCATGTTCATGCCACAATCCCCTCTCCTTCATTTCTCCATTCTCAGAATTTTGGGCATGAAAGCACACACATGCATACAACATGTTTTCAAACCACCAAAGCCCTGACTTGAACCCACAGTTGGCCGTGTGGGATCACACTCACTTAACTGCTAGGCTTTAGGGTTGGCCCTCTTTTTCTTTTTAAAAAAGTTTTATTTTATTCATAATAGGGAGCATGTACACTCAGAAAGAGAGGGAGAGGGAGGGGGGAAAGAGAGAGAGAGGGAGAGAGAGAAAGAGAGCCACTCTGACAGGATCCCCTCCCCCCAGCCTTTTAGCTGGTCAGAATCTTGGGCACACACATGTGTCTGGCATGTTTTCAGGACAATTGAGATCTAAACCCATGATAAGCCATGTGCCTTCCAGCAGCATTGAAATCCAGTATGCTACACTGAGGCTTATTATTATTTTTTTTTAAGATCATTTGGGACCAGCAGTTAGCATAATGGCTATGTCGCTGAACTCCCATGTAGCCGACCGTGGTTCGAGTCCTGGACCCTGTGGCTTAAACTCATGCTGGGTGTGTGTGCATGCGTTCCCAAGATCCTGAGAGAATGGAGGAGAGGGGACTGCGGTGTGGCCATCCCCCCTGGGAGGTGATTTCTAGCTTCCTCTCTCTCTGTCTCTCTCTCTCTTTCTGGCAAGCGCATGCACCCTATAGCAAAAAAATAAAACTCTCCAAAAAAATAAAAATAAAAAAAGATCATTTACCTGTGTGCCTATAGGCACAAATAAGAACCTGACTAGTATGCTCAGGAGACATACAGACTAAGGGAGAAAAGAAACACAGGGCAATTAAGTTCAGGTACAACAAAGGTTAGACTTGGGAGATGTAGAGTGCTCCCTTACTGAGCACTTGCTGTGCCCCAGTAAACCAGGCATTTGACTTGCAACCACCTGTAACAACAGTACGATTAGAGTCATGATTCCTCTTGCAGAAAGAAGGAAACTGAAGCACAGAGAAGTGAAACAACTTACTTTAAGTCACATAGTTGTTAGGGAGTAGGGCTAGAGTTTGAACTCATGCAGCCTATACTCAGAGCCCATCTGCCTAAACATTAAATAATGAACTAACAGGAAAGGTAGTAGGACATCTTTTCTCAGCCTTTCTTGTCGATGTCCACTCTTCTTCCCCTTTCTTATCCACTCTCTCCTGTTTCTTGGGGTTAGACACACTAGGAACTCCAGCCATATTTATGGATCTCCCAGGCATTGCTCTAAAGGGACAGGCATTCCCTAGGTATACCTATACCCTTCAGAGGAAAGGACCTCTCTCTAGGCAGTAGGTGGGGTCCTCAAAGTTGATAGTGGAGGGTTGGGGATTGCTTCTTGGAGGTTTAATTCAAACAGCAGCGACAACAAAATCAGAATCCACCAACACACCAGAAGAAGTCTTGCGCAGCAGAGGAACAGGTTTACTTGTCAGTTCATGGTTTCATTTCCCATCCCATGGTGTTGTACATGGTGGAGATGGCAGTGGTAGTGGGGCCCAGTGGTGTCCCCAGTGCCTCATTGTGGAGGTGGACATGGAGGTGGGCAAGAAGGTGGGCATGGAGGCGGGCACGGAGGTGGGCATTTAGGAGGACAGATCTTGGTACAGGGCTTGGGAGGGCAGGGAGCTGGGCAGGGTGGGGGACAGGGACAGGGTGGAGGGCATGGTGGGCATTTTGGTGGTGGCGGACACTTTTCCCGTGGGCACTTGTCCGAGCAGCGTTGCAGCAGCTTCTTTAAACAGCTGGGCTGGCATTTGGATTCACACTTTTGTTCACACCTGGGATCGCAGTTCTTGGGCTCATTCTTGGGGTCACTAGCTTTACTCTTATCATCACTCGACATTGTTTTTTGATTATCTGGGCCCTGAAAAGAAATATGAGGTGGGTCGTGGGTGGGAGAGGATTTGTCTAGACTTCCTGCTCACATCTCCTTCCATCTTTGTTCTCAAGAAAGCCTTCCTGGGATGTGCTCAGCCTCTAGATCATATTCTCATTGAAGAGCTGTCTTTATCCTTATAGTGGATCTGTGACAGCTCCTGATCTCCCCACCCTTACTTTGCTTTCTTTTCATTTATTCTTGTTTCCATTCTACAGACCCTGTGTCCGAGGATCCCCAGGCCCCTAACCAACCATAGAAACTTGTATTTCAATAGAATTGGCTTCTTCTGTAACCCAATTTGTGTTTTTAAAATTAATTTAAAAACATTATTCCAAGGAGTCTGTAAGTTTGATCAGATTGCCAAAGGTATCCATGACCCACAAAGGTATTAAAGATGTCCTAGAAGACTACGACTACCTTCCTTATCTCTCTAAAGATAAATGGGAGAAATATTCGTGGATTCAGGGATGCAGGACATTTCTTCAATCCGGCATCCTGCCTAAGCTCCCACATCTTGAGAATTGCATTTGTCATTTGAGAGTTGAGGAAGGGAAGATAATTGAATCCCCTACTACCAAGATTGGGTTCCCATGGGCCACTCTTGAACTGCCTCCATCCAAGTTCAGCCAAATAACTAGGGTAGGGGGAGAAATCAGAGATAAATCAAGAGATAAACAAGAAGTTCTAATTTGTCTGAAAATATGAGCATGACAGTCATAAAGTAAGATTTTTCAGAAGGAAATTACTTTATTATTCTGTTTTACCCTAAATTTATGTTGCAGCTATATTTATGTGTACTTTAACTTTTTAGATATGGATGTAGCTTTTTGGTCCCTGACAAAACTTTAAGTTGATCTAATGGGCACACCTTTGATTTCCTTTAGCAACATAAAAATAAAATTTTGTCTAATTTAGTTTTAAAATCAGTATGGCTCTCAGGGGAGACAGATTATGACCCTGAACTCTAAAATTGGTAAGAATCTCTATTCCAAGATGAAATGAACCCAGTTCTTGCTAACAAAAATGACGGAAAATTTTACTCAACCCTGCTTAGTGCCTGGGTGCAAGAGGTCATTTCCAGGATAGAAGAGAGTGGCCATTTACAGTTGTCCAAATGCAACTCACCCCTTGTGTTGATAGCAAACTTGACAAGTAGTTGAGTGAGGTGGATAGTATGGCTGTGCTGGGGAAGGTGGACTTTCCCTCTGGTTCCTCTGCTCAGCTCTGAGGAAGGTGGGGATGGGTCTAGGGGCTAGCTCCTCTTGTGATGTCATCACAGCATCATCGAGTAACCATTGTCCTGTGTCTCCAGAGCTCTCAACTTAGTCAAGCTTTTGATATGAGAACAGAACTGTGATTAGTCATCCCCTTGCCTGTCCTGCTCCCTCCCAGGTCCCTCAGAATTCATGGTGGAATGAGGCTGCAGTGAAAACTCCTGAGCTGTAAGGATAGGAATCTTATGGTTGCTGGGAGCAGAAAAACTGACTCATTGTGGACACATGGTGTCCATTTCCTCCCTCAGCTCTCAAAGTGTTAACTCCTCTGAAGTGGCCCCTTCTCCACCTTTCTAGGAAAACAACCCTGAGTTGATCACAGCCATTTGACTCTCCTTTCTTCCTTATTTTTCTAATTTGAGCTTCTGAGATCTCTTTTTACAACCCCATATGCCCTGGCCAAGTCCAAGGATTATTTTAGCTCTTTTTTTCAATGTGTCTAAATAAATTTGCTCCTATTTTGGGCTCGTGATTGTTTTTTAAATCAGACACTGCACTTGATATCCATGGAAAATACTGTGCACTGTGAAGAAATTCAGTCTGATGCCCTTGGCCACTCCTGACTGGTTGGATTAACCCCAGATCCTGTCTCAGAGCAGAATGATTTGCCTCTCAGAGAGTCCTTCCTTGCCTTTTCAAAGGCCTGGCCAGTGGGCATCTGTGGCTGCAAGAGAGATGCATCCATAATGGGTACAATGAGAGGCTGGTGTGGGAAGGGTAAGTGGGGCTCAGGCACATGGAGCCTGAATTCTGGTCTAGGAGAATCTTGGTAATCATTCACTGATGAGTCACCAGTGACTTTTGATTATAATTATATGATTATCTCTAAGGTATTTAAAGATATTTCTCACAGCAAAATATCAGATTAGAAGATGTGGTGGTAGATTGAAAGTGGAATAGACCTCTTTCAAAGAAATTATAAAAGTTTGTGCATGTGAAAGAATGAAGTAATGATGGTAGAATGAGAGTGCCAGTGAAAATAACATCATCAAAAAAGCATTCCCTGTCCCCTAACAGGGTACATGTGCTCACTGGAAAGAGACAGAGAGAAGGAAAGTGAGAAATCAGCTCCAGGAGGAAGGGGGATGCTGCAATCCCTTCTCTTCCATTCTCCTCTCAGGATTTTGGGCAACATGCACATGCATCTGGTGTGATATTCAAGCCACCAGGTCCAGGACTCAAATCATGGTCAGTCACGTGGGAGTCCAGTGCCTTAAACACCATGCCCCCAGAAAAGAAAATTTATGGGACTTGGTTACTGACTCTGGGTAAAAAATTAGAAAGAAAGAAAAACTGAAGATGACTCCTAGGTTTCAAGATGATAGTGTTACTGATAATAGGAACTGAGGAAACAAAACAGGTTTGTGCGAGAAGAATATGGGTGTGAGTCTCAGTAAGTTGAACGTGGTTATGATGGAGCATCTTGGGTAGTTATTGGAAATAAGGCCCTGGCCCTCATGCAACTGGGAAGACCTGAGACTTTGAGTTCATTTCGCTCCAACAAGAGTTTATCATGTGAATGAATATGAGCAGGTCCAGAGAGAAGATTAAGGAGAGAAAGGAAGAGGGATGGAAAAGAATGAAGAATCCCAATATGGGGTTTAACGTGACATTCATAATGGATAAAGTATACCATATGCAATTAAAACTCAAATGAATCTAAATAAATGGGGAGAGTGAGCCAAAACTTAACCCCTTGTCCCAGGGATAATTGGTGTTAGAATCATAGTTTTGGCACAGCCCACTCCTCTCATTTTCTCTCCCCCGTAATTTCGTTCACAAGTTCTCTCTCCCCCAAGCTATTGAAAAGCAGTTCCCACATCCATCTCGAGACCTAGATCCACCTAATGTTCAGCTCTGTACCAAAGCTACTAATTCAGATAAGAAGTCAGTCATTTGTGACCCTTACTTCAAAAGATGTAGCGATTTCTACTAGCAGTTGTCACCTTGCTCTCTCTTCTCCTATTTCTTGCTTAAGAAGTTCTCACTGAGACAAAGTATATCGTTCACTGGACTCCAACAGAACTTAATTTTTCCATCATCTATTTGCTATAGGGAGAGACAGACAGAGAGAGACGGAAAGTGAGAAATCACCCCCTAGAGGGGATGGCCACACTCCAATCCCTTCTCTTCCATTCACCTCTCAGAATTTTGGGCACACATACACATGTGCCTTGCATGAGTTTTAAGCCACCGGGTCTGGGACTTGATCTGTGATCAACTATGTAGGAGTCCAGTTTTGCAACCAGTATGCTATCTGCTGGTCCCTCTATTTAGTCTTTAATACCCTCCTCTCTAATGGTTAACACTCTCGGTAGTGCTACATTTATTGTCCCAGCTATTAGCCTCACCTTTGGCTCAGGGTTTGGGAACAGCTGGCAGCAAAATGCTGCTGAGATGAAACACAGTCCAGGATTCTTAGGTGGCTGCGTCTCAGAAAAGAGACTGGAAGGGGAAATGAATGAGTGTCAAGTCTGGCTTAGATTAGAGGTTAAGAGCAAGGAGTCTGATTCTTGGTTTAAATTCTTTCATCCTTTAGTTATTCAATGACCCCTGGTAATTTACTTAACCATTCTAGGTCTCAATTATTTTATCTATAAAATGATATAATAGTAGCCCTTGTTTGAAGATAAAAAATAACTTATATTGATAGTTTATAATGTGCCCAGCACATTACCAAGTGCAAAACTGACATTCTCATCCATTATATGGTCTCCCTGTACTCACAGAGTTGTTGAAAAGATATGAGATATTATATATGAAGAGCCCTCAATAAATGTTCTCTATACAGGCTATTACTTTTGTCACTTTTTGCCTGGCTTCTTCATTTCTTAGCTTGCTGGATCTCTCTTACTCTCCATCTCTGTCTCTTTCTCTTATTTTCTGATCTTGGCCCTGAAATCTCACTTCACCAATTCAATATGTTTCTCTTATTTTTAAGTTTCTCTTTTTTTGTTTGTTTCATTTTATTTTAAATTATTATTTGTACATTAAATCGCTATACATCATTTAGATTGTGAAGAGACTTTACCCAGCATGATTTACACCTCAGTTCAGCCCAGTTTATCTTTTTTAAAAATAATTATCATCGTCATTTAAAAAAAATTTAACCAAAGAGAGACAGAGAAAAAGAGTGGGAAAGTGAGAAAGCAAATCTGGGACTGGAATTGCAGTTGGCCATGTGGGAGTCCAGCGCCTTAACCAACACCCCACCTGCCAGCCCATCAATATATTTCTTTGACACGTCGTTTTTTTCATCCTTCCAATCAAAGCTATTGTTGGTGTCCACAGCAATAATAGATATTTTGATACTCACTCTTACTAGATGATTTCAATTTTGAGTAGGGAGAATTTATATAAATGTTATTGATAAAGATAGTGATTTAGCACTATTTTTAAAAGAATTATTTTAATTAACTTTATCCATTTATGTGTTTATTTTAATTTGATCAGAGAGGAACACAGTGAAAGAGGAAGAGAGAGAAAGTGAGAAAGCAAGCTGCCAGGTCTGAAACTTGAACTGCAGTCAGCCATGTGGGAGTCCAGTGCCTTTAACCACTGTGCCACTTGCTGGCCGCAAGATAGCAATTTAAACATTAAGGCAGAAAAAAATCATCAGTCAAGCCATTCAGTAGTTTGTCCCTGTGTACCTGGAGGTCTTGCATGCCTGTATGCTATGCCAAATTAGGGAGAAGCTATGTGCCAGCAATTTTAACTTCACTGATTCCCCCTCTCCGTTTTTAGGCCAAGTCTTATTTTCTGTCATTTTCTCTCCCTCTTTTTGACTTTTGTTGGACAGCCAGACTTGAAGGACAAAGTCAGAGAACAACTCTATTCCTCCTGTTGACACCTCTTAGAATCTTCTGTGAGGCTGGCTCTTTCCTTCCTCTTGGGATCTCTAACACATGTCATTGAGTTTTAGGGCCATGCTAAGACATAAGAATTTCTTTGGTCACTTCTTTACATTAAAAAATCTCATTTTAGTAACTGCAGGGTCTATTTCCTGAAGTTTGGATTTCTTTCTCTTTTCCACTTGGGACAGCTCCTCTTCCCTTGTTCACCAGGCTGCCTCTGGTCCTTTGGGGAAGAAGCTGCAGAAGGAGGGAGAAAGGGCTAAACAGTTCTGAACTGATATAGGAGTCTCTGATTTTGGCAAGTGCTTAAAGCTGACCTTCCCCTTGTAGGGCACTTCAATGGTTTGTTCAAGATAGACTCTCCTGCCCCTGCTCTGCTGGAGTCTGAGGGTAGTTCTTCGATATTGGTAAACGTGTTTCCTCTGCCTGGCTGATATGGTTCCTACAGGGCCTAGGCATTTGGAAGTTTTCCTCCAGCTTCTCTGGTCTGGGACTGCCTCATCTCCAAGGGGCCCTCTGAGAATTTTAAGCAGCCTGGGCAGCCAGCTCTCCCTCCCCTATGATTCCTATCTGGCTCGTGGAGACCAGCCATACATCCTCCCCTTTCATGGTTCATAAACCACCATTGGTGGTTCTTCCTGGTAGGTATGTACTTTTGCTCATTCATTATGTTCAAGGAGGGGGGAGTTGTATGATATCCTCTTGGGCATGGTTCAGTGTTCACCCTGGTTGACTTTACTGCAATATTTGATACTATCATGTCCTCTTTTTTTACCCCTCTCCCCTGGGTCCTCTATAATACAGATAGGTTCCACTTCTCTGGCCTCATCTACTCTCCTTCTGGAACTCTCCCTTTGTTGAATCCTTTCACCTTCACCTGGTTCTTCTTTCACTTTACACATTGATTGCCAATCTCATTCAACATCATTGTTCTAACTGAAACTTCCAAAGCACATCCTCTTTTCTCCTTCTAGATTCAAACATTAATATCCATTTGGTCCCTTCAACTTCTTTTACAAAGTCAGAATTCATCACCTTCCCATCTCTCCTAACATGCTCCTCTGTGCTCCTCACTCTAATTGGCATCCCTTCCCATCAAGACCTCCAATCTATAAAGCTGGGATCATCCAGACAGCT